TATATATATATATATATATATATATATATATATATATATATATATATATGTATATATATATATATATATATATATATATATATATATATATATGCCATAACTTCAAAATGATTTCATATGATAATGATTTCATATGCATAATGTAGAACAGTATTATGCACACTGTGAATCCAACTTATATGATGTCTGCAGGGTGGCAATTTATTTGATTACGGAGCATGATACCCCAGACATGTGGCACCATGTGTAAGTCACATTGTTCTAATGCCAGGCCAGTTATGACCAATCCCTTTGACACTAATTATATATTGCATGTATAGTGACCATGTGGTTTTATATGTATGAATGAGCATCCATGTTGGGGAGAGAAAGGAATGAACATGAATATGTTGTTGTCAGTTGCTGTGTACTTTATATGTATGCACGTTTGTATGTTTGCATATTTACATATAAATATGTAAAAAAAACATCAGGCGAAACCCAAGTGCGCAGATCTAACACCCACCAATTACTCCATCAAGTCATTCCTCCACCACTCCCACGTAGGTGGAATTGCTATCATCACAAGGAACTCCATGATCAACTGTCTTAACTACACTTCAACTTTCAATTTCGACCACACATTATTTGAACTAGTCCAAACTACACTCACACTAGAACAAAGGTCAGTCAAGTTTTTATGCCCTTACTGCCCTCCTCCTAGTAGAAAAAACAAGCTGACAGAATCTCTCTTTTTGGGGCAGTTTCCGAACCTCCTGTAGTATGGAAATTCTATAGGTGGCAACCTAATTATTCTTGGTGATTTAAACGTTCACTGTGACAGTCATGAAAACCCATGCACATTGAAACTCCTAGATTCCATTCATGTTTTCAACCTCAAACAGTCAGTTAGCCAACCAACCCATAAAATGTGTCACATTTTATATTGGATTCTTTACAGACCTGATGATAATATTCTTCAATCCTCCCTGGTGTCCCACAAACTTTCATTAGATCACCTCTGCATTATATGCTATCTTGATGTATCAGTTCCTAACTCTCCAACTTTATTTGCTACTAAGAGAAACCTCCGTATGATAAACAGAACCAAAATAATGCACGACATCCAAGTAAACCTAACAACTAGCTTACCTACTACAGCAGAACAACTTGATAACTGCCTGCATTCATTGCTTGACAAACACACCCCAGCAACCAAGTGCAAAGTAGCAATTAAGAAATGTTCTCTGTGGTATAACAGTGTTAGGGACCAGCTTCATACTGCTAAAAGAGACCGTCGTAAAGCTGAGAGACTTTGGCTTTCCACCAGACTCACTGTTCATAAGCAGATTTATGATGCCGCTAAGAAGAATGTCACAAACATAGTCCATGCAGTGAAACTGGCCCACTACAGTACTAAAATCGCAGAAAGTTCCAGCTGCAAAGAACTATTTGAGAATACTAACAAGCTACTGTCAAGGAACAAATGTATACCACTTCCACCTACCTTCTCTCAAGTTAACATTCCGGACCTGTTTGTAAATTTCTTCCGTGACAAAGTACAAACCATCATAGATAAACTTGACAACACAATTTCAGTTGACTCGTCATCACCATACAGTTGCGATACAGACATTCAGCGGCAACCATTAGCAGCATTTGAACCTGTCTCTATGGATTTAGTACATACAATCATGATGAAGAGTGCACCAAAGTCATGTGAACAGGATCTGATTCCGACGTCAGTTCTGCTAGAGTACTTTTGGATCCAATATTGCCTTCACTAACTGATGTTAATACATCTCTCTCATCTGGGTAATTCCCATCATTTTACAAAATTGCCAATGTAAAACCTCTGCTGAAGAAACCAACACTTGACTGTAATGATCTAAAGAACTACTGCCCAGTTTCTAATCTCCCATTCATGTAAAAAATCTTAGAAAAAGTTGTTCTATCCCAACTTGTATCTCATCTAAATTCAAAGTCCTTTTAGCAATGTACAGTCTGCATATTGCCCTTGTCACAGTACTGAAACCACTCTTCTGAAAGTAGTCAACGACCTTCTCTCTGCTTTGGATGGCGGAAAGACTACATTCCTCACTCTCCTTGACTTATCTGCAGCATTTGACACTATAGACCATGATATATTACTTCACCATCTCCAGCATGTATTTGGCATTCACGATATGGCCTTACTATGGTTTAAGTCCTACTTGGTCAACAGGACACAAATTGTGTCTGCAAATGGTAAACACTCCAGCCCAGTTGATCTATGCTGTGGTGTTCCACAGGGGTCTGTTCTTGGACCTGTTCTCTTCATTCTGTACACTCAGCCACTCTCAAGTGTCATAGATCAACATCCAGTGTCTCACCAATTGTATGCTGATGACACTCAAATATACAAATCTAGCCATCCAGTTGAAGTAGAAGCTACCATCCAAGACATAGAGATGTGCATTTCTAATGTGAAATCATGGATGACATGTAACAAGCTGCAGATGAATGATGATAAAATTGAAGCCATCCTGATTACAACACAAAGATTTTCTCATTCACATACATTACCTCAGATAATAAACATTAGCAACACCAATATTAATTTCAAGCAGTCAGTACGAAACTTCTCTGTCACTCTTAACTGTACTCTCTCATTGCATCAACATGTCATGAACATATGCCGGGCTGCATATATTGAGCTGAGACGCATCAGCTCCATTCGCAAGTATCTTTCAGTTGATGCCACAAAAACACTTGTGTGTTCCTTAGTACTTTCAAGACTGGACTATTGTAATTCAATTTTGTCTGGTTCATCTCAAGATCTACTTCAGAAACTTCAAAAAGTTCAAAACATTGCTGCTTGGATCATCCTTAGAGTACCATGATCAGAGCATGCCTCTCCGCTGCTATGTACCCTACACTGTCTATCCATATGATCCAGAATTAAACACAAAATTTGTTCTCTGTGCTATGTTTCACTGACGGGCTCCAGTCCAACATACCTATCTGACCTCACCCATGTGTATACACCTGCAAGATGCTTATGCTCCTCTTCTGACACTCGAATTCTCAATATTCCCACTATGAAGTTGAAATCATATGGACAATGTTCTTTTGCATACCAGGGCCCAGCAACATGGAACAAATTGCCCACTGCACTCATACACAAAGACACAGTGATCTCATTCAAGAGCGCCCTTAAAACCCATCTATTTCAACTGCAAGAACAGTCATAATGACCTAATTATATATTCTTTTTAACATATTCTTATCTTAAAAATTTACAGCACGTTTTCTGTTTCTAATTTTGTGGTGTTTGTTTTTAATTTTTGTAATCATTTCATTATATTTGGTTTGTTTTTCATATTCTTTTTTAAGCGTTGTCAAATGTTGTAAAGTGCTTAAAGCTTCTAAAGATTAGGCGCTATATAAAGTCCTTCTTAATATTATTATTATTCTTTTTTTAACACTGGTCTTGACCTTTTCCCTGTTGTTATACAAATCAATAGTTTTCTTGTCCCAGGTGCAAGCTATCCACAAAATTTATTCCTGATATATAATATAGAAATGATGTTATTTTGTGGAAATTATTTTTCTTCCTTCACACTTGACCATTGATATTTTGATCCCAGTAGACTTCTTCCATATCCTAACTGCAAGGCATTCATAATTTTGGTCCATTCAATGAGTACTTTTTTATTTTGTCTTGACAGTGTGTCTACTAATACATTATTATTGCCTGGAATAGCAAACTTAGTGAGGTTTTTTGAGGTAGAAGAGGGTACAGACTTCATACAAAGAATGTGCATGTGGGCCTCCTTTATGCTGGAAATATGTTACAATGGATGTGTTGTCAGAGAAGACCATGACACACTGACTTATTACTTTGTTTCAAGGTTGTTGATGTGGATGGACATGGAGAAACTGTTGATGGCACAAATATAATGTCCTAAGGGAACCAAAACTGAAACAGTGTTCAAGATTTTCATAAGGGAGAGGAAATGAAAGCAGAGAATGATGCCTTGGATTATATTACCTCTAAAATCATCAGGTTTCATTCTATCCAGCCCTGTAGGACTGTGACTATGTATGGTTCATAAGGAAACTCATCCCAACATAAATGAAGCCTTAAGATGGAATGAGCTCTTACTTCTCAAGCATAGGTAAAAGACCCAACTAAGTTAACGTCAATCAGCAATGGAACATATCAGAATTGACTGAATGCACCTGAACATTGTGGGTCAGTCAGTCATAAAAAGACCTGGAGAATTGGAATTCCTGGTGGTCAGAGATATACATGTAAATTTATGACTCTCATGACTTGGGCAAAAACATTGGGAGCAGAAGCAATGCTGAATGGAAGAACCTGTGACTGACAAACTTTTCTTGGTCCAAGTAAAGACTGAGGTATTTGGGATGAGGAAATATTGGGTCATACAAGTAAGCATCATGAAGATCAATGGAGACTGCCTTATCTGATGTACAAAGATCATTCTAGACTTACAATCTCCATCTTTAAAGATTCCTTCTGAAGAAACAACATTAAAGGAGAAAAATTTATTACAAGACTAAATTTTCCAATCATTTCAGTGACCATGAATATTGGAGATTAGAATACAGTTGACTGACTGTTGAGAACCTTCTTGACTGCCCATTTCTGTAAAAGGGTATGCATTTCTTCCTTTAAATTTATCAGATTTGATTGGTTAAGAAAACATGGGGTCCTTGACAGGGGATGTTGTTCCAGAACTGTGCTCAGTAACCTTTGTTCCTAATGGATGTGATGTGATGTGATTATGATTTTTAACGTAGCTTTAACAATTTTTCAGTCATATTGCTATAATGTCTGCAGTGTGGCAGTTTATAATGATGTATAGCAATGGGGCATCATGCCGCAGACATGTAGCATGATGTCCCACCCAGTCACATTTTCCTGACACCAGGCCGACCAGTCCTAACATTAACCTCTTAATGCTGAGCACCAAACAAGGAAGCTGTTAGTACCATTTTTGTAAGTCTTTGGTATGACTTGACTGGGGATCGAACCCACGATCTCCCGCATCCAAGGTGGATGCTTTAACCACTTAGCCACAGGAGCAGTTTTGTTCCCAATGGAAAAAACCAGCAATCATCTGTGATGCATGACCAAGCCTCCGCAAAAAGGCCTAGATGAATACCAATGGGTATGTGATCTGGAAGAGGAATACATAACAAGAGAGCTGTTGAGTTGCTAGGTATGTACCCACTCCTTTCTCTTGGGGGTCTTTGGCAACTATGCCTTGCACCTGACAGGCAAGAAGGAGGCTTAAATTGAAGTTGCGGATTGCTTTGGAATAACATCTGCTTAAAGAACTTTACTGATAGCCTCTGATGGTGAATTGCATTACCACACTTCCTGGCCAATGTTGTAAAGTATCTGCCTTGATTATTCATCATGGGAAGATATAGTAGGAATGAGTCATCTGAAGATGGTCTTGGATTCAAAAGGAGCACTCTGAGTTCTTACTATGGCTGAATTAAACTTTCAAAGACTCTAACCAGATCTGTTGCTTATAATCTTCAGTTGTATTGATTGGAAAGAGGGACCAGGCTCCAGTACAAATACTCGAGACAATTGGGGAGGTTTAGTCTGACATAGGAGCACTCTTCCAACCTAAAGCTAAACCATCTTGTAGTGGGGCCCTATGGACTCCGCAAGAGAGAAACCTGCGAATTCTAAAAAAGAGTGGTCTTGATATTTCCTGAAACCTTTATATGTGCATCTAGAATCAGCAAGATTCGAAATTTCAGTTGAGCATAATATACAAAATGCATCTATTTTTGTGTACATTCAAAACAAGTGAGGTAGTATGGGTGAGTGTCCCATGGGCCTTTCTTGTGGTCACACTGTTCCACAGACTGTCCCAATTTTTTTCTATGAAAAATGATTTCTTGCAAGAAAATGATCAATAATACATTATGTCAAACATGAATTCTCCTGCTGTCATATAGTATATACTGTACTATATACACTTCAATGGATGCACAAGATAAATAATGTAAACAAGGTAAAACACCTGTCTTTTTTATGTAGTAAAGTAAGATGTTCAGTTGTTAAACGTTATAAAAAAACCCACATAAACACATAAACATACACACACATAACATGTAACATGAGTCACAGAAACAAGTATAAACAATATACAACAATGAAAACACTAGGCCCAAAAGACTTACCCATATCCAGCTGTACATATGAAATTGAGTATGACTGTACACTAACCAATTGGGGGTGGGATAATGTAATGTTCCTTAAAGAACAATGTTCTGAAAAGGCAAGGTAAACTGGCTTGTTAAATTAAATACAGCAAAGAATAAATGTAATACTGAGATATATGAATTTGCTGGAGGAAAGACTGCAACATGGTAAAAAGCTACTAGTAACAAGCAATTTTACTTTGTTCACATTTTTGATGCCCATACATTAACATGGCATACTTGCAAAGAAATGATTGTTCTGTACATGGCATGGAAGGTGCATTAGCGGAATGTGTCCTATCGATAATTATCCATTCTATTGGAGGATGCATTCACATTAGTATATGAAGATTTCATCACAATAAAGAGTAAGCTATGCAATAGTGATGGGTTACGTATTACTTTTATTATAACTTAATTTAATGTATGGGTGAACATTAACAAAAATCAAGTTTAATTGTATGTCTTCATGATTCATAGCTAAATGCCACAAGCTAAAGGTTTTGAACTACAATGTCCTAATCAAAGTCATGGATTTTGTGTAATATTCGATTCAGGTGCATCTAAACAACAACTAAGCCAGCCTTTCATGACCTTAAGTCACGTGTTTATTTTAAAAAATAGTATAAGCTAGTGAATATGTTCTACAGAATAAATATGAACAGGTTTCAAACAAACGTTTCAATCACCAGCTCTTCATGTTTTGGGTTTGATTGATACAGGTTGCAATGTTCATACTTGCAAGGCCTGTGAACTAACATAACAACATTTATTCTTTATTAGATCTACAGACCATAGGGGCAACAGTGGTCAGCTTTCATCTTTTGACTTGTAAGTTTATAGTAAGTTGAACATCTTAGGTATATAGAAGTGTGTAGCATGTATAAAACATCAGATTAATTCATCACCTCATCATCTGATCTTCTTCTCACTAGTTTATAATAAACTCTCCCTAAAAATAACAGGCATGTATAAAAAATTTGCTGTCAGTTCAAACAAAGAATAGTTCCAATAACTCGGACCAGTGAATATTACAGCTTCCAAACAAAGCAATCTTTCTTGATATACATGTAACAGACATACTGTAGAAGCCTAGATATAATTAGTACTTATGTGACACTGACCTACAACTTGCGACTTTTTCCTTCCAAACCAATAGGTATTCATGATGTTCTCTTATAAGCTATGGACACTGTGTTCTGACTGGGATTATTCACAAACCTTGCAAAGTCATACAACTAAGGGTGTGTGCTGTTATAAACTAGGGACAATGAGTTATGAGTCATTCAGAACTCTCATTGTCATACATCCACAAAATGTAGGTATGGAAAATCTTAGAATGTTTGCTGTGAAATGTAGAAAATTCAAATGGCATTTTATACAGTCAGTGATAGTGGAACTGGCAAAAGTGAATAATATTCTGAGGCAATTGATTGGCCTCAAATGGAGAGGAGAGTAGTTTCAATGACATTTGAGATGAAAAGCTGTCCTGTAACATGCAAACACATTTGCTATGGTAGACAATGATGGCACTGACTAGAATGCATTGAATGCCCAGTAGGGAAGCAAAGAAAGAAACTACTCAAGTTATCCAAAGAGGAAAAATCCACCATGTCTTCATTTCAAATTTGATGTCTATATATTACAGATATGTAGAACACATACATAAAGGATTAATGTCAGAATGACCTCAACCTTTGTCATTGTGACCCTGTAGTAAATAGCAAGTTGTACTACATATTTATATAAAATATCTTTGTTCCAAGTTTCATATAATTTGCAAAAATAACCTTGCAAAAACAAATACACTAATAAAAGTTGTAATTTTGATTGCAGGACCCCCATTTATGGTTCAGTATGAAACATGAGAAAGAGAGAGGTCATATAAAAATGAACAGTCTAATATGGTCACTATAGCAACTTTGCTGTATATGAGATTTAAATTACTGATGAATTTGGCCAAAGGTTGATAAACATTTGGAAGAGCCACAGGAAAGTTTAAAGAATAATAATAAAAAAAAATGTTCTCCTCCTTCTTCAAACTGTTTTTGTTTATTGAGGTATAAGGCAGGCATAATGCATAAAACATTGAACTAAAACAAGACAATTTTTTTTTGTTGAAAATTTTATTGCTCAGACTGCAGAGCAACAGTGGATCACTAAATGCACAGTGTTGATAATTAAATACACTGTGTTCACTACAAGTACACTGTTCATAATTTGATACACTGTGTTCACTACAAGTACAGTGTTGATAATTAGATACATTGTTATATCAGGTAGCTGTCAAAAGGCAGCCTGAAACTAGTTGTACAAGGTAATTCTATATAATGATACACAATGACAGCAGATACATACTGCCTCAACATTAAAGGTCAGAAGCCATAAAAGGAATATAAATAAAAAACACTGTTCTCATAGTATAACTTATCTTATGGAATGTATATACATGTTAGAATAATGTGTGATGTTCCCTACCAATACATTTGCTTACTACCTATTCACATAAGCTTGCTTAAACATTAAAAAAAGCCATTAGTCATTAAACAGTTGTAACAGCACTCTGAATTGACATAATACAAATGTGGTGAATTATAAGGTCCAAAGACTCTGTGCCATCAAGTTTGTTCAATTGTTATATGTAAAGGTGAAATAGATTCATTGGTAACACTGGTGTATTGTCATTTTGATTACAAGTTGCAGTACACTATTTATAAAGTTCTAACACTATTGTCCATAATGAGCATAATAATTCAAATGGTTACTCCAGCTGTATGTAGTCTAATCATTCCAGGACAAAGTGGACAGACACCATCTCTTCAGCCCATCTTATCTTTCTCTAGCAAGTTTCCAATATCTATGTTCATATGATCACATCCTATGGTCAACAGCATCAGGAAGAGGTACATATCTCCTTTTGACAACAGTGTCTCTATAACAGGTACATATCTCCTTTTGACAACAGTGTCTCTGTAAGAGGTACATATCTCCTTCTGACAACAGTGTCTCTGTAAGAGGTACATATCTCCTTTTGACAACAGTGTCTCTATAACAGGTACATATCTCCTTTTGACAACAGTGTCTCTGTAAGAGGTACATATCTCCTTTTGACAACAGTGTCTCTATAACAGGTACATATCTCCTTTTGACAACAGTGTCTCTGTAAGAGGTACATATCTCCTTCTGACAACAGTGTCTCTGTAAGAGGTACATATCTCCTTCTGACAACAGTGTCTCTGTAAGAGGTACATATCTCCTTTTGACAACAGTGTCTCTGTAAGAGGTACATATCTCCTTTTGACAACAGTGTCTCTATAACAGGTACATATCTCCTTTTGACAACAGTGCCTCTGTAAGAGGTACATATCTCCTTGTGACAACAGTGTCTCTGTAAGAGGTACATATCTCCTTCTGACAACAGTGTCTCTGTAAGAGGTACATATCTCCTTTTGACAACAGTGTCTCTGTAAGAGGTACATATCTCCTTTTGACAACAGTGTCTCTGTAAGAGGTACATATCTCCTTTTGACAACAGTGTCTCTATAACAGGTACATATCTCCTTTTGACAACAGTGTCTCTGTAAGAGGTACATATCTCCTTCTGACAACAGTGTCTCTGGAAGAGGTACATATCTCCTTTTGACAACAGTGTCTCTGTAAGAGGTACATATGCTTATTGCCATTAGTGTTAGTTATGACTTCAGTTGACAAGAGGTATTCATTCCATAATTACCAATAGAGTCAGGAAGAGGTATATATTCATGTTAACATTAGTGTCAGTAAGAGGTACATATTCCCATTGAATCTCAGAAGATATATACATTCCTATTAACAACAGTGTCAGGAACAGGTACATATTCAT